CACGACACTCCACAACACTACAACTACACCTACACAACTACACTCCACTACACTCCACCACACTCCACTACATCCCACTACACTACACTACACTACAACTACCCAACTACATTCCACCACACTCCACTGCACTAAATTACACTACACTACAGTGCATGACACTACACTACACTCCACTACACTACTTTACACTACACTAGTACACTACACTACCTTCCACTACACTTCACTACATTACACTACACTACACTCAACTACACTACAACTACAACTACAACTACAACTACACTCCACTAAACTCCACTACACTAATTTACACTACGCTAAATTACACTACACTACACTACATTACACTGCACTACATTGCATTCCACTACACTCCACTACACTACATTACAGTACACTACACTGCATTAGACTGGGTGACACTGCACCATAGATAGACAGGTAGACAGATAGACAGATAGACAGATGAAAGAGAGAGAAAGAGAGATAGATAGATAGATCGATAGCTGGATAGATACATAAAAAATAGATAGGTAGGTAGGTAGATAGGCAGAGAAAGAGAGAGAAAGAGTGAGAGAGATCAAGCACCTTTCGGTCCATCAGTGGATTCGCTCTGCCATCCCTGATTCACAACAACCAACCTCTCCTATATGTTTCCTATGTTTGAAACTTCCGCCACCGCCTTGTGCGGTACTACTGGTATCCAACTTTCGCGAAACAAAATGAAAAAAAAACATTCGCGAGGGTTTCCAACATAACATGCACGGCTTTCGCAATTAAAACTCCTTACAAGGACCTTTAGATCGATCACCAAATATATATATGTATATGGACATCCTGAAGGCATACACCTCTATAAATCATACAACAACAGCTTTCTATACTAACCATCCCTAGAAAATGATTCATAAATGGTGGCTTGTCCATATCTGTAATAACTCCATATGGGAAAACAAAAAACACAACAACATTTTAACATTAAAAAACAAAACAAAACATATCCCAGCAATGATCCACTTCTATCTATATACATAATCTAGTCATCCCATCTTTTTCCCATGGTATCCCCATTTTTGTGTTTAAACAACCCAGCCATGGGAAAATTGGGAGCTCCCCGTCCTGTCATCTTGAAGATGGACACCTCCAAGGTGACGGGAGGCACCTGGCAAATGCTATGTTAACACGGCACCAAATATCAAAGTGTTACTCATATCATGCGCGTATCATGCATAATCATATCATATATCACATATCATAATTATATCATAATTATATCATATTCATAGTTATATCATATTCATATCATATATCATAATCATATCATATATCATATATCATATGTCATATATCATATATCATATCATATCATGTCATATCATATATCATATCATATCATATCAAATCATATATCTTGGGATAGCCCTTGTTGCAGTTGTATGTGACCAAAGAAACATTAAACAAAAATACCTCAAAATACGGTGCGCCTGAGAACGGATCTGTGTCATCTTCATACTGGAAGAGTTGAGGAACACCTGGCACCAGCAAACCATGGTGATGTCCACCGGGAAGTTTTCGGCATTGAAACAACAAAATGGATTGAACACCAAAAACAGGGACTTAGCAAATCTACCACTGTTTTTTGGGTAGGAATTGGATGCAAAAAAGGGTAATTTTTCACACCTTTTCAGCAAAATTTCTGGGATAACTGCACTGTTTTGTTTGTGGAGGATCATCCCATGTATCCCCGTGGCTGGGACAATCCTCCAAGGCACATGATCAACGTGATGGAAAGACTGAGTCGACAAGATGGCTTTCCATGGCTTTCCAACCCACCAACCCAAGAACCAAACAAAAAAAACTCCGACGGACTCCGGCACTTGCAATTGCCCACATATTGACATAATGATCCAACTAAGGGTCATGGTCAAAACTTGCACATCATCCACCATTTGGGGTGATGACCCTGCTATCGGGTAAACCAGCTGCACAGGAGGTATGGGAAATGGGTCTATAAGTAGATCAACGCACAACATGGCCAACCATCGAGGAGATCAAAGAGCCTTCCCAACAGGTGACCCTCCGATGATAGCAGATCTATCGATCATTCGTACGCCTTAAATAAGACACTATACTGGTCGGTGGTATACCTACCCCTCTGAAAAATGATGGAGTTCGTCAATTGGGATTATGACATTCCCAATATATGGAAAGTCATAATCCATTCATGTTCCAAACCACCAACCAGTGTTTGTTGGTTTATAAACCATTAAAATCCCCATTCATTATAGTTATGTCTACCATAAACCATAGTTAATCAATGGTTCCAGTCACCACCAACCAGAGATGGTTAAATCCCCATCGTCCCAACCTTCTCTGCATGAAGGGCACCGCTGCTCTGCGCGCTGCTGTTGTGGCAAGTCATCGAACTGTGGCGCCCGGAAAAAAGCCGGCTCTTCTCCAGTTAGCCTCTGGTAATTTGTTACATTTAATGGACTTTTATAGTGATTTAATGGGATTTTATGGTGATTTAATGGGATGTTATAGTGATTCAATGGGATATTATTGGTATAGACCCTCTGGCAATGACTAACAGTTTGCGAACTTGAAAATGGCCATAGAAATAGTGGATTTACCCAGCTATAAAATGGTGGATCTTTCCATAGTTTTTTGTATGTTTACCGGAGGGTACCACCCGGACCCGGCCTGGCTGCAACTTTTACAAACATCTTTGCAGCAAAGTACGAAATGATACAAGCCAATGATGAACCAATTTCCATGTTTCCAAATCGTTTCAAACTCTCTGCGGGGTGCCAAAAATCCAGGTTGCATGAGCCTGAAAGCCAGGACCTAAATCTCTTGTCTTTTATTTGTTTCAGCTATGCCCCAACGATTTACGATGTTCTGAGTCAGGATCCAAGTCAAGAGTGTCCACACCTTCTGTCATCCTGGGTTGATTGAGCAGGGTTCCCACTTCATTCAGTGAATTAGCAATATAATATGTACATATATATATATATAATATGTGTACACATCTGTCACCATGTATTTGATTGTTAAAACATGGTCAAGGTTAAATCCATATCAATCTGCTGGACCCCCCGATTCAACAACAAATCAACCAACGACAAGATATCATAACGTTGATTCCAAATTCCATTACATCATTCTTTAATTCCCATCACATCCCCACTCACTGGTACCAATCAACCATGATCAATCAAACATGTACATATGTATATATATATATATATGTATACATCATTATAATATTATATATCCAATGTATTTAAGATCTATCCCCATATATTTGACATTGACAATCACAATCACACTGCTTCAATCTGGAAATCCCATGGAATTACCATGGCTCAAGCGCTCCGAGGACCCGCCTGTTCACCATCTGCAGATCGCCTCCGACATGCAGCGCTGCCTGGCTCTTGGCGCGGCAGCCGCTTAGATGCACAGCGCTGCCTGGTGCCGCGCAACTTGGTTTATAAACACCCATCTAAGTACATCACATCTGAATCTATAATCAAAATTACTCAAATAGATATAGAAGAAACTATAGATCTATAGAATTCCAGAAAGTAGGATGTACCCTCTTGTAAACAAACACAAAATCTATGGAACATCACATTTTTGTAAGGGGTAAATCAACTATTTCTATGGCAATTTTCAACAGCTCGGTTACATTTCCAAAGGGTATGATTTTCAACATGGATCCCCAGTCGTCACCATGGATGATTTAGGGCTACCATGACTTCGGAAACCTCCATGTGGCTCCAATTCTACAAGATTGCCTGTTGGATGGTCAGCCAAACTAGCACGGAGTTTATCAAATCTGGAGCTTATCAGCACCGAAATGGAACATATGGAACTAGCCAAAGGGGTGAAAAGGTGGAAGTAGCCACAAGAATTTTAGATGGAACGCAGCTGAGGACTCAATCAACGCCAAAGGTTTGGCGAAAGCGCAGCCGCTCCTGTCTCCACAATCTCATAGTTGCTTAATTAATGCCTTTTTTCATGACCAAAACACAAAACAATCACCAGACATTGGAGCCTACCCTGACATCAGCAATCGAACTCACCAAACATTGAGATCTAACCAATTTTTCACCAGGCATTTAAGCCCGTAACAACATTGGGGTTTAACCAACAACCATTGGATCCCATGTGAATGGTAGCAACCCTCAAACCAGTTTTGGATGGTCCTGTGGTTAAACTATGTAAGACGTTAAGCAGTGGACACCTGGTCAGTATATAGTACGATGTTTTCATATTAATTACAACATCCTTAGTTCCAACCCGTTCGTAGCCAAAAAATGAGGCTCTAATAAACCACAATTATTTTTTTTTCAACACACATTATGGATTTAGCCGACAGATAACCACAAAGGGATTGAGCCTATAGATAACCACCAAGGGATTTGGAATGGAACCTCCCGAAAAAAACATCTACTCCTCTGGAAGCGCCTCGCACCGTCATGGATCGTACGGCATGAATACCTCCATATCGTGGGAATCGGGATCCCAAAATGCTTGGATGACTACTCGACATGGCGATCTCATCCTTATCACTGGACAACACTACAACAATGATGACAATCATTTGATCATTAACTGGTGGATACCCTATCCAGAACTGAAATTGTTGAACGTCAAAGAACTGATCATGGATCCAAACAAAGTGACACACAATCACACATTTTGGCAAATGGAGACAATGATCATAATTACTTCCTTGATAAATTATCCTGCCAATTTGAAGTGAGGCCTCGAAACAAAAAAACATCGGCCATCATGTCTGGGTGAATTTGCAAGAGCTCTCTCTTCACAATCGTTGCTGAAAATATTGTTTGGATACTTCACAAAAAAGTCCCGGGCTCCTTAGGTAAGGCTTCACGCAATTGATGTTTTTTCCTCAGACATGTTTCTTGTTTTCCAGTGATTGGTGGAAGACCAGGTCCAGTCGCTTTCTGTTACCTTTTGAGAATCAAACCTGCTCTGCCGGAAAATCCTACATGATACTGTAGTACGAGTATGCATGTAAATGTAATTAGTTATGCGTTCTTCCGCTGTACACGTAATGCCCAAACAGTGTACAGAAAAAAACATATCACAGATTTTCCTCATTGACATGTGTAGATGATGTTCACCATTGAAAATAAAAAGTAATGTTACCCACTGGTAAACGTTAACAAAAATCTACCGTTAAAATCACCATTTTATAGCCTGGGTAAATCAACTATTTCGACTGGGCCATGGTTTCCAGTTCGCTATATCTGTTTGTTTACCATTGATATTCACCATCATTAACCATAGCTATATCCCCATAATATCCATCATTAACCATAGCTATATCCCCATAATATCCATCATTAACCATAACTATATCCCCATAGTATCCGTCATTAACCATAGCTATACCCCCATAATATTCATCATTAACCATAGCTATATCCCCATCATACCCATCATTAACCGTAGCTATATCCCCATAATATCCATCATTAACCATAGCTATATCCCCATAATATCCATCATTAACCATAGCTATATCCCCATAATATCCATCATTAACCATAGCTGTATCCCCATAATATCCATCATTAACCATAGCTATATCACCATAATATCCATCATTAACCATAGCTATATCCCCAAAATATCCATCATTAACCATAGCTATATCCCCATAATATCCATCATTAACCATAGCTATACCCCCATAATATCCCATATGGAAAACCATCCATTTTTCCCCAGCAAACTGTGAGTCATGACCAGGCCGGGTAAACGTTCTCCCAAATCCACCGGATTCTCATCCGCCGATTTTAGCGGAAGCCATTCACAGCCATTTAGTTGTTGGTCATGGTATATATCCAATGATATTCCAATTATTTGGTTTATTGCCCTCCCATTAACAATGATATTCCCATGATATTGCCATTCTCAATGATATTCCCAATTGGTTCGAACCATGGCAGCCATGATTTTCAGGTCATTTTGGGGCGTTTTTCCTCACCAAGTTGCAGGAGCCATCAAAACCACTCGCGGCATCGTCAATTTCCTTGGGAAATCCAAGAGAAATCCTACTGCGACCCTCAAACAGAAAACTAGCCTCCTACTGTACATATATGTGTATAATAATAATAATATATATATATAATTAGATGAGATGAGATGAGATGAGATGAGATGAGATGAGATAGATGGATAGATAGATAGATAGATCGATAGATAGATTGATGGACTGAACACATCATAAATGACATTCCTGTTATCTTTTTGGGGGTTGTTGGTGGTTGTTGCACAACAAAACCAAGTTTTTACAGCCGAGGATCATGCAACGGAACACATCCTTTAAGCAACAAACAGACCTGTGAACATCCAAGTTGGGAAAACACCGACTTTCTGCTCGTCGGCTTGTAATCAACAGAAAATACTGTGGTAAACATATTTAATATATATATATATACATAGGTTTCAAATGGTTAGATACCCTTTTTGGCCGGTTAAAAGACATTTTTCTGCTTGAGTTTCTCTTGTTTTCAACAACATGATAATATGGTCTTTGAGTTCCTTCAATGATATCCGATCTTGGATAAAGTATTGTTGTGAACCATTTTGGATCACAAGATTCTGGATCGAAAAACATATTTGGACGGATCATTCTAGATCAACAAATCTGCTCTTGTTTTTTTCATGGAAAACCATTCCATCTCTTCTTTTGGATCATTCTGGATACATGTTTGCTTTACACATATTAGGCCTAGCATTCTGAATAAAAACACGATAATAATATGACTATGAATATATATATATATATGTTATATATTATTTTACTAAAGTATAAATTATATTACTATAGTATATATTATATTACTATAGTATAAATTATATTACTATAGTATATAATATATATAATATACATAAAAATACATTCAAGAGCTCCACCATCAGCGAAAGTTTCCATCCCAGTTTCCACGCTGGAGTTCCGCAGCTCCAAGTGAAACGCGTAGATGCCGCCACCTGGCATCCCAGGCCCCGTCGCAACCCATCCGCAGCTCTTTCAAGTCATGATTATGGAGATTTTATAGTGATTTTATGGTGATTTACTGGTGATTTTATGGGATCTAATGGTGGTTTCATGGGATTTTATGGTGATTTAATGGTGTTGAATGGTGATTTAATGGTGCTGAATGGGGTTTAATGATGACTTTATGTTGTTTAATGGGGCTTTTGTTATATTTATATAATGGAAAGATACGGTAATGAGAATCTAATGGAATGTCATGGTGATACAATTGGATTTAGTTTCCAATAAACCTAACATTGCTGTGGAGAAAAAAACAAGTTTAATAGGTACATCCAGGGTACATCATTTATCAATGGGCCATCTATACATATCTATACCATAGCAAAGTGTCAAATTCCCAGAGGGTACCAAATGTAGCAATGATTTTTTTCCTGACATTGTGGTTACACACATGTACGACGGTTGGTGAGCTACTTGGATGAGCCTAGAAATCACAGTAACGGATATGAATGCTTTGCAACTGGGTAACATCCCCAGTTGAATCACTGTGACATCGGAGGAAAGACTCCCAGGAATCGAAGTTTTCGCCCCATCAACTCGGTGCCAGTTTACGGCCGATTCGACTCAACGAAGCAAATCCTGAAGAACCCATTGCCCTATGGCCCTATCGGATTTATCCAGTGACTTCATGTGACTTCTCGGTCTTTCTACCTCGGATCTATCTGTAGATCTAGCTAGCAAACTAGCTCTCTTCTCTCTGTCTATCTAATCTATCTATCTCGAACCTTATCCATCTACGGGCAAAACTTGCATGGACGTGGTTTTAACTCATGGTTTGCCGTTCGGAATATGATCTTTCATTCACCTCTATGATAGTTCACAGGAGGGTAACGGGGTTTATCAACCAACAAACATATGGTTAAATCCCATTCAAAACCCCTTTTCCAATCACCATTTAAGTCCCATTTCCAATCACCACGTCTTGTTGATACTATAAAGCCCATGAAAAAGACAAAAACATCCAGCAATCTCCACCAATTCACCGGCAGTTTCCGTGCCTTTGGACGCCAAGGTTTGCGATGCATCCAACGACTGGCCATGGAGGCGGGAGTCGATGAGCACAAGGCGCTTGTGGGAGTAGGTCTCAGCGCTGGGGTGAGCTGGTGCCCTTTGTTTCGGGGGAAAATCATGGAACACCTGGGGTTAAATGTTATACAAATATATATATATATATACATCATTTATTTATTTATTTATTTATGTATATATGTACACATTTATTACAAATTATTTATTCATTTACGTATTTATTGATTGATTTATTGATTTACTTATTAATAGCTATAGACTATTACATGGTTTCATTCTTGGCATATGATCCAAGGGCTACATTTGTTCAAACCATTCTTGGCATAATCATTTAACATAAGTCGTGATCGTGATCATCAAACATCGGATGATCAGCGAACTAAATTTAGTTTCATGGATCCTCTACTAAACAGCAATGTTTCGGGTGAGTTGTGATGAAGTGAGTTCACATGCCCCAATGTATGTGGGGAAATAACCGCAGTGGTAGAGATGAATCATTCTTCGTGGAAGATGAATCACAGCTGACCATCTTGTTTGCCCACCAATTAAGTTGCTGGTGATTCTAATGTGGGTTGACAACCAAATATCATCAAACAATCAAATATCAACTATCCGTCACCGACTGGGCTGCTTAGGGAAGCTTAACTTGCATGCCCTGGAAAACCCACAAATTTTTCCCAAAGGACGAACAAACACATCTGACAGCCGGATCCGAAACAATCATTCCATTTAGGATGACAGATCTGTCACAGTTGCAACGCTGCACGATACTTTCGCTTGGAGCTTTCTGGGGGGTAGTGATCTATCTGATTTCCCCTGACTTTTTACTATTGACTTAGTAGCTCTGGTTGCAGGCAACCCGAGTAGGAAAGAGCCATCTTCCAAAGATGGAACTTTTTTCGACTGTCCCAGCTTCAATTTCATGGATGCAAAAGTTTGAAACGCATAATTGCAATGTCATCTCTGCTATTCCAAGCTAACAACTGGTTCATAATCAAGGTTGTAGTAAATGCACTAATAATAGATGGGATAACCCCCAAAACCCAGTCTATTGAGCCTCCTAAGCTAGGTTAATTATCACAGCGACATCAGCGAGTTGCAGGAATTCAATTAAAGTGATGAGGGTGACCACATTGGATTGAAGTGATGATCAAGGCGATGATGGATCTAAACTCCTTCGTTGTCATCATTGGCTCTGGTTACCCTCCAACTATTCTGGAGGAAAGGGCAGGTGCATAGACCGGGCCGCAGCACATTGTCTTGACTCAGGGTTTTCAACTGGCGAGAACATCCGGGAAGACCGATGGACGTCAATTTTGCGGCACGCAGCGCCAAAATCAGAATTATTATTGTGGATTCGTGGATCCAAAATAAGTACCCCAATGACACGGCCCATACCCAGATCTCAAAGCAATGATTCAATGGAAAAGGGAAAAAAACTGTCTTATTGCATCCAATGGTTGATCATGATGTTATCTTCCACCGAAAATAAACGTAAACTGGGGGCACAAAGCAATCGAGGAATCTAGCGAGAAAAAATACAAGGACCATTTTTGCACTCAAATCAATTTGTCAATGGACTGATTTTAAGGAGAAACATGCAGGTAAGCGGTTTACAACTTTAAAATGTTTTTTTTTATTATGTGTGTTTCCTACAAACTTTTTCCTTCAGCCAATTCCATCCCCACATCCCCATGATTTTCCAGATATCTTTGGTCCAATCTCCATTTCGAGTGGCCGCCCCTCCATGGCCATAGGCGAAGGCGTTCGAGATCGACAGGGAGGAGGACCTGGCAGCCCCCTATCTGAAAGTCATCAGGGACCATCATCCCATATGAAACATTGAAACATAGAAACTAACCACATGCGACCACCACATGGTTTTTCGAAGTCTACACTAACGTGATTCTCCCAGCTTCTCGGCTTCTCGCTCTACACAAAAGCTGGCCCACTTCCAACGAAAACAATGGCTGGGGATGGCTGTTCTGATTCTGATTCACTTTGGCATGGCGACCAAACAATTCTTCAATTTCAGTGGGATAATGTCAATTCTTTTCCCATGAGTTTTGTTGGGGAAATCTAGAAGAAATCTCTGTTGAAGGCCAACAAGGATACAGTGTCCTATCGATTTTAACAATCAATCTATTGAATTCAGCATCAAATCATCCTTGAAAATGTCCTCACAATTGTTCGGCTGATACTATGTATCTACATAGTATACCGTGAATTCATAATCATATTGGGGGGTTCTTAAGTCATGGTGGATTTCCAGTCGTCACCATGGTTGTTTCAACACTAAGTCATGGTGGTCCCTCTCCCTGGTTTTGTTGCGATTTGCATAGACTCAATCCACTGAACAAAAATAGGGCGTATGTAAGCTATGTATGACCCACCAAGAATGGAAAAAACCGTGAATTGCGAATCATATTGGGCCATGAAACATGAAACCCCCCATTTTGGTGCTGTGAAATCTCCCATTTGGATCCTGCAGATTCACTCAGCTGCTGGTGCCTGGCCACCAGCATGTCGGCCAGGATTCCGCCTTCGAGAGGTGGGATAGGCATAGGGTTTGTTCATGGGATTATCATAGGAAATGATGGGAAATCCTAAGGTAAAAATGGTGCCTTAATGGTGATTTAATGGGTATTTAACCATCAAAATATGGGATTCAATTGGATTGAATGATGATATAATGGTCTGGTTGGTGGTTGACCTACCCTCTGAATAATGATGGAAAGAAAGTCAGTTGGGATGATGAAATTCCCAATATATGCAAATTACTTGACTTCGTGTGATCCCCACCATGACATTTATACATTTTGTTACTGGCAAATCTTCTGGCATTCTATCTGGCATATCTTCTGGCATTCTATCTGGCATATCTTCTGGCATTCTATCTGGCATATCTTCTGGCATATTATCTACTCAAATCTTCTGGCATTCAATCTGGCAAACATTCTGGCACTTTATCTGGCATATCTTCTGGCATTCTATCTGGCATATCTTCTGACATTTTATCTGGCACATCTTCTGGCATTTTATCTGGCATATCTTCTGGCATTCTATCTGACATTTTATCTGGCATTCTCTCTGGCATACCTTCTGGCACTCTATCTGGCATATCTTCTGGCATTCTATCTGGCATTCTATCTGGCATTCTATCTGGCATATGTTCTGGCATATCTTCTGGCATTCTATCTGGCATATCTTCTGGCATTCTATCTGGCATATCTTCTGGCATTCTATCTGGCATATGTTCTGGCATATCTTCTGGCATATTTTCTGGCATTCTATCTGGCATTCTATCTGGATTTCTTCTGGCATTCTATCTGCCCGTTGAGGTCCAGCAGTGCACACTGAGCTGGGCAGGTCCCCGGTTGAGGTCCAGCGGTGCACACTGAGCTGGGCAGATCCCAGGTTGAGGTCCAGCGGTGCACACTGAGCTGGAACGGTCCCAGGTTGAGGTCCAGCGGTGCACAGTGAGCTGGGAAGGTCCCAGGTTGAGGTCCAGCGGTGCACACTGAGCTGGGAAGTTGGCAAAGAGCTTGGCGAAGAGAGTTGGCAAAGAGCTTGGCGAAGAGTTGGCAAGGCGGAAGTGCAGGTGGAAGTTGATGCAGACATGGTCGAGGAGAAACTGGAGGAGGAGGCGAGGAGGAGGACGAGGAGGAAGAGGACAGCTAGTCGAGGAGGAGGAGGACGACGACGAGGAGGAGGACGAGGACGCGGAGGAAGAGCGCTCTGATAAAATCTAACAACCCTCACCTGGCAGGTGGGGAAAAAATGTTCCAAACCACCAACCAGTATTAATAGGACATCATTATGTTATGTTCATTTATGATCAGAAGAAAAATGATGGGAAATCATGAGATGACCATAGGGAAATCATGGGATTTACCCCTTTCAGTCATGATCAACTAGGAGTTTGCTATGGAAAATCGCAGATTTATGGATGATTTACCTATTGAACATGGTGATTTTCCATAGCTATGTAAGTTTAAATATTTCTATACACATGTTTATATCTACTTGCAATCATACAGCCAAAATATCTTGCAGTCAGTGCCAAGTACCCTTGACCACACTGTACCTATTGGTTGTGGAAACATCTCAGTACTGCCTGGCCAATGAAGCAGTCAGAAGGCAAAAAGGACGTCTACCATGGAGAAGAACCAAACAACTTGCAGAGTTGCAACATGCATTTTGACAATAAACCAACATAAACCACCAAAGAAAACGGCAAAGGTCACTAGTTATTTTATCTATCTCTCTATCTCTCCATCTCTCTATCTCTCTATTTTTTTCTCTCTCTCTCTATCGATCGATCGATCGATCTATCGATCTCTATCTATCTAACTACCTATCTATCTACCTATCTACCTATCTATCTACCTATCTACCTATCTACCTATCTACCTATCTACCTATCCATCTATCGATCTATCGATCTATCTACCTATTGATCTGTCTATGTATCGATCTATCTATCGATCTTTCGATCTATCTATCTACTGATCTGTCTATGTATCGATCTATCTATCGATCTATCTATCTATCAATCTATCAATTAATCTATCTATCTATCTATCTATCTATCAATCAATCCATCTACTCACTGATGTTGGATCCCATTCTGATTTCAACTTCAGTGTCAAAACGCTTCAAAACGCTCTCAGGCCGAGAAAAAAAACAGTTGGTTGATATGTGCGGATATGCGGGTTTGTACTTACCCTCCAACCCTTTTAATCTGCTGGGAAATAGAAATAAGTATATATGTATATATATATATATATATACAAACATCACATTCCATGAACAATATCTTGGGGATTATCATAATCCGTCATACCCCATGTTTTTTCAGAAACTCCCTGGGAATCCCTACCGGAGTCCCCCAAGGATCGACGTCCGCCTCCGTTCCTTGCCCAGGCATAGGAGATCTCCACGCTGGAATTCTCCAGTCGCACCTGGGGATGTAGGACTTGATGCTGACGAAGTCTGGTCATAGGTTTTTTTGATACTAAAATTGCTATTATAATATTAATTAATATAGGTTAAGTATAGTTGAATTGGATAGGTTAATATGTTGTATGCTAATAACGGTTAATCTTGACCATTATAAATAGTTACTATTTCTTACTAGTAGTTACAATTACTTACTATTACTTACTGTAAAATATAGTTGTGCCAAGTATGTTCTGGACTTACTATACCTTCTTAATGATACTTTAGGATTAACAGTCTAGGAGTATATGCATATGTATATATATATATGTGTGTCATATATATAATATCTAGTTATATAGTATGTAGTGTTAATAACTGAGGTTAATCTTAACCATTAGTTACTATTAGTTACTATCCAAAAAGAGTTAAAATGAGTCTGGGGATGTCATGGTCCAATGGTCGAAGCTGAACTTAACCATTCAGTCAGGCTGATTTAATATGATTTCGTGGGACATTAATGGGAATATAATATTTAATATCTCATTAATGGGACAATTTTTAATATTAATAGGATACAAAACCATCTAATTAGAATTAAGAGTTGGACGGTATGCATATTCCTTGATGGTATCAATCAAATAAGGATTTATAGTGATTCATTTGCAGAGTATGATGAACCCCTTGATGGTGGGATGACCATACCCCAGATGCCATGTCTTGACCATGGCACACGTACTATGCATCCGATTATTGTGTATGATTATATCATATGGCCATATTCCAAACAAGGTGGGCGTTGTAACTATACGGGTACTCAATACTGCTACCAGGTCGAAGTATTAGTATCAATGTGGATATGTATCCACCGAAAAAAAGTATTGATGCTCAATACTTTGTGGTCTCTGATATGACATTCTTGAAGAAACACTACTAAAGGTAAAGGCATTATATAACCAACCAAACATTACCAAACTACAGTTTACTCATCAATCCATGAACAACATGACGGCAAACCAATTCCGGACCAGGCAGCATCTCAACCAGAAATGCGGCCTGTCGAAACAAGGTTAAACCACCATGTTTCATCATGCCCCATCTTAGATACATTGCAAACAATGCAGTTTTAGCTGGTTGCTATATACACATCCCCGTTCAGAAGGTTGATCCAGTGATTGTTCAGCCCCTATTTCGGATCTTCATTTTCTGCCCAGGCACGTTCTTGGCAAAGATGCTTCCACCATCCATCCTGGCATAGGACCTCTCAGTCACCTTGGCTAGAGTCAACTTTCAGGAGGACACATGGCAGTGGGAATTTAACATAGCTGTGATAGATGAATCATTTATACATAAATGGGTGAAACATCTATATAAAAAATATATATAATGGGTGAATCAATAACAAATGGAAAATCACCACCTTTAATAGGTGAATACTCAAACTAACTGAGTCATTTTCCAAAGCTATATGTTCCATTGCCAGAGGGTACATGGCGGGAGCAACGCCCAAATCATCGCAAGTTTCACATTGAAAAGAGGAGTTTTTTGAGTGCTGTCAAACGCAAATTGTAGGAGGGAATACGCCAAAGCTTTGAATCCAGTTTAAGACATTTGGAGTAGGGGGACATTGTAGTTCCTTGGGGCTAAATGTTGATTCCCAAGACTTTCAAATGGGAGCCCGCGAAATTAAGCCAGGTCCCACGTTTACTATGAACCAGCGCGGCCGTTTGATCAGATTCATACAGCAGCAAGGGTATCTCATGCGATATATTCCCGTCTCCCCAAAATAAACAAAACCAATTTCAAAACCACTAGGCGGAAGGGATGATAGTGGTTTTTGAACAATTCTTGGGTATTTCGTGTATAATCTGTACAATTGTGTATGTGTAGTAAGTTCTGGTCCACTGCTAGAAGAACAACATGTC